ATTGATCAGTTCCTGGAACAGAGTACCTAATTAGTAAGGAAATGTATATGCTCCTGTATATGTTCTAAAGATTGTCACAGAGTTACAGGGTGTCTTGTTTTGTAACTGGTTCCAATCAAGATTGCTGTAAAGTAACTTTAAAACTGAATAAGGTACTGTTAACTAAGATTATAGAACAATATACATGTGTCTACCATAGTCAATGGTTTCACACAGCCTTTCAAGTCCTAGGTGTATGTAGACATAAAATGAGACCAAGAGTGCAAGCTTTTTGAACTGCACTCTGTCTGTAGGAGTGTTAGTCAGATCCTAGGACTAATACTGTTAATTAGGAAATAGGTAACAAGGTGACTACCATAGATCGATTGGGAGGGAAACTTGGGTGAATTGGCATGTGAGTAACTGACCAAATTGTTTTGTGATCTAGCTTTGACTTGTTTTTCCTCTGTTGTGTTAGCAACACCAGAGCTGATAACCAATTGACACAAGTGAGGCCCTGTTCTGAGCAACAATTAGTCATAAAATCTAAAAAAAAGTCACCAATATAGTGACTGAATATAAGAATTATTTTTCTATTGTGGTTATAGCCAAATCATAGTCCAATACCATTTCTTGACTTCTTATATCATATATTATTATTATTATTAGTTGCTGCTGTTAAGGATGTATAATAAAACTAAATTGATCTCTTGAATCCTGTTCTTGTGTTAAGCAATTGAATTTAAAAGAACCCCAAGAAAGGTGGTACACATACTCCATTAAGCAGTTGCTTAACTAGGTTTGTTTTATACTCTATCTTTCTTACAGTAGATAATGAGACAGAAATTGTCTCTCGGCCTAAGGAGACATCTCTTAATTTGTATCTAGTAGATAGGAGAGTGAAAGCTGTTGTAGCCCCTCATGCCAGAAGGCTCTGGGGCTAGCTTGTCAGCTCCATACTGAATGTAGTTTGTATGGGCTGTTTGTGTGAGTAGGTAGCTTATACTGGAAATAGGACAGTACAGGGGGAGTAATTCATGTCTTTGCAACCTTTGTGTGAGGCAAAGGTGGTTCCCTCCCCCCGGCAGTGCTTAGCTACTCCTGAGAGCTTGCTGTAGATGGGAGATAGATTACATTTTCCTATTGTTCCATGTGGTGTAAATATGGTATATTTAAGGCTCTACTTGAATTGCAGGATGATTGTCAAAATATTGCGGCTGAGTTGCAGACAAGCCATGGAAAAGAAATAATAGACCTTATTTGCAGTAATGAAGTCCACTATTACTTTTATGCAATTTTCCACTGTCAGCCATCCACTTCCAAAAATGCAGTGGAAGCCTAATATTGCAATTTTGCTAGTTAAGGAGGGCTTTGTATATATTCAATGTACAAGATTCCAACATTTAAACCCAATGCTTCCTTCAGCCAGAGCAGATCAACTACGGTTTATAAATACAGCTGAACAGCACAGGGTTTATAAATTGCACCTGACCCCTGGCTTTCTTGGGAGTTAAGACTGTTAAATGTGGAGTTTATAAACTCCACAGAATTTAATAATAAACTAAGCTCCACTTAATGGAATGTAAAGTCTGGAACATGGACTTTTGAAGGGTTTATTAAATCTGGTAAAGAGCCCAATCCTACTTGGACCCCTTCTTCAGACCTCTGATTCTTCATACAATGCACAGTCAACCTGTGGAATGCTTTGTCAGGGAACATTGTGAAAGCCAAGACTATAACAAGGTTCAAAAAAGAACTAGATAAATTTATGGAGGATAGGTCCATCAATGGCAATTATCCAGGATGGGCAGGGATGCTCTGAAGTGGCCCTACCCTCTGTTTGCCAGAAGCTGGGAATGGGTGACAGGGGATGGATCACTTGATTATCTGTTCTGTTCATTCCCTCTGAAGCACTTGGCATTGGCCACTGTTGGAAGACAGGATACTGGGCTAGATGGAACATTGGTCTGACCCAGCATGGCTGTTCTTTTGTTCGTATGATCTTATTCTGCTCAGAGCCCTCCCTGTGTCCAGACACATCCCCTCTATTGTGCCAACCTTCCTTTTCCCTCCCCCATAAGAGCTCCCAGATAACAATGTCCATGTAACCTAGGTGCTTAATAGGAAGATATCTCTTAAAGAGATCTATGGGGGTAGGAATGAGTTGTCTGGTTCATTGTTGCTAGGCAGATGCACAATTAGCTCTCCGCACCCAGAAGTTTCTGGAATTGGGTGTGGTAGTTTTGGGTATGCTCAATAAGTTCCCTGTAGCTGGACTCAGACTCCATGAGGGCAAGCAGTCATGGCAGCTGCTTTACAAAAGGCCATGTGCCCTGTATGGGCTGGGAGAAGCTGAATTCAGGAGCAGAAAGCAGGCTGTTTCCCCCTAACTCTGAAGGGTTTTGCTACAGGGTTCTTTTATCTACATACTTAAAGTAAGTGGTTGGTTAATTAGTTAGCTGACTAGCTAACTGAATGATTTCAGCAGAGGAAGAGTCTGCATGGATTTCAGTTGGAGGTTTCTACAAGCAAGAGGAAATACGATATTGTTGCAGTGCTTTAGACTCAGCAGACTGTACAGATTTTGGTGACAAAAGACTAACTCAGACTTGAGTGCACTCAACCTTTGCTTTTGGGAACTCTGAGTTAGATCTCACGGCATTTCTGTGGAGACTGACCTGTTTAGATTTAATTTGTGTATAATTGAAGATAATATATGTGGATTATAAAGTAGCCATGTTATGTTGTAACATTTAAGTTATTTATGTTGCTTTATCATTATAAGAGTATGTAAAGTTGCTACTTAATAATTTAATTAATTAATCTTTTTGGAGTTGATTGTGTTGACCCTATGCATTCATTGCTGAAAATCCTCAGTGACTGAATTCAGGGTCTCCATGTGCTTTGCTATGGGAATGGGGGGGGGGGGGGTTAGGCACTAGGAGAAGGGCAGTGAAGTAAACTCTAGCCCATCCAAAGGTTACCCCTGCACATGTTGAAGTCTGTGTGTCAGCGCTTCTGGACTTGCATACGGAGATTAAATGTCCGTGACTGGGGGATGTGAACTATCTCACAACTGATTTATGACATGAGGGATAGAGGACAAAAATCTAGCTTACAGTGGAAACGCTCTTAAAAACTTAACTATGGATTTGCTTCTCCAGCTGAGAAAAGTATTCAGTGGAGTGTAGACTCCTGGATACAAAGCACATCACAATTGTAAGATACATGCAGCCAGTCTGGGCAGGAATAGACTGATCTGAAGCAGTTTTTCCTCTCTCAAATACTCAGGCATGCTGTTCATCCAGGCCTGGTTGCTGGTCTAAGGTCATTCAGCACTGAGTTCAGAACAGCCCACTGAGCACCTTATAGAGCTGCCCAGCCCGGGGTATCACGCTGGAGTACTTGAATGAGCTGAATGAACCAGTTGTTCTGAGGGGAAAGCCGTTACAGTGCACCGGACTGCTTAGTACACCTTAACAGCAGCAGAACCCCATCGAATAGTCCAGCAAACCATAGCAAAGCACAGCCGTTACGTAGGGAGCATATGTGTGTTAACCTAGGAGACTCCATGCCACCACTAGTCTTCATCAAGCTACTTGTCAGTAGAGCAGGTTGAGAATTTTTGAGAGATGCGTGATTTCGGTGGAAAATGCCAATTTGTGGAGATGTATTAGTTCAGAGAAAACTTTCTCAGGTTGGGACAAAAGAGAGAGGGCCCAGAATACCCATAACCTGATGACTAGGGTACTCACTTCGGATGTGTAAGGCCCAGGTTCAAGCCGCTGCTCCCAGTCAATACCCTGGTCTATTGGCTATTGGGATGGTCTCGCTCATGTTTGTTTGGATCAGAATGAAAACAAATTTCAACATTTCAGAATCTTTCATGAAACACAAATGCTGTTTTGCAGCCAGTCCTACTTGAAAGCCACAAAATGCAGGAAAGGGTAATGAACTCGTATAAAGTGAAGGAAAGTTACAGTGCCCCATCTAGGCTGAAAGCTGGCATAATCCCTGGTAGGCTTGTACAATAACAGCGAAGGTTGGCCTAGGTTTGGGAGGGGAAAGGTACCACTAGTTTTTTTCAGAAACTATTTTGGTTGTAAAGAAAACCTGCTACCTTGTCATAAAATCCAAAAAAGTTAAGTGCTGTCAAGAAATAATAGGAGAGGTCAAATAATGATTGGTTCTAGTTATTAAAAAACACATAAAACAAACATTCAGCAATGCAAGGTTTGTGGTTACCTTGGGGACTATAAATCATTGAACCAGCCAAATGGAAATTTTGATTAGAGAATAGATTTCAGTGCTCACCATAAAAGCAGCTGCAATTTTGTTAGAGGGTAGCCCAGAGCTAGATGTACTACTAATAAAAATTAAACATAGATATCAGTGTGCTCTCTGTCTATGTGCTTATTCTAGGCTCATCATCACCGTGGTTTCAGCATGCTTAGAGTTATGTGCTTAGACAGCTCAGGAACAAGTAAAAGTCAATAATTGCAAAAGCACCAGAAACAGAATTTGTTATTACTAATGGAAAATTAAAGTAGATTTTTTTTTTGAGGAAATGTCTTTCTGATCTCCTGGGACATTTATCTCCCAGTGCCCATGTGGAGTTAATTCAAGATGGTTTTGTATGTACATTATTATTTAAGACTGCCACAGCTATAATTATAAACATGCAGGACATTAGAAGCAGCCTGTGGATGCTAAAATTTCTGCAATAGCTCAATGATGGTATGTTTCATGAGTGATGAAACATCTCCTATTCTGTAACATTTCTAACTAGAGCTGTAATGCTCACATGCATTTTAATAGCACAAAATATGAACTTCTATATAAAAAAAAATACCTATGTAGTGCTTTACAAACACTACCTATGTCATCTTCACGTAAAATCCTTGTTGACTTGATTTCAGCACCTATACAAAGAAATTATCTACTTTTTTCCCCATGCAAACCCTTCACTCAAGAAGTTAATTATCCTACAGTCTGTTCCTTGCAAGCTTGGAATCACTTACCTGAAAAATCTTGCTCCTGAAGCACTAAAATAAAAGCCAAAGCCCAAATGAAAAGCATGGTTTCGAAGCCTCCAAGCTCTGTCTGGGGATGTCTCTCCTAGTCCGGGAGGAGAGGAGCAATGCAGAGTCCCTCCTCCGTTTACATAGTCTCCCAGTCCAGGCTTTTGTGCTGAGGTTTAGCCAGAGCGCTGGGAGGAAATACTCCAAGGCTGAGCCAAGATTCTTAAACGAATCTCTTTCCTTCCTCTTTTTAAAAACACCCTTCAAACTCCACAAAGGGTCCAGTTAACCAAGCAAGCTGGCTGCAGTCCAAGCTTCCCAAACTTTTAACTCTTGTATTTATTTATATTGAGCATGAATGGAATGTGTTGAAGAGCTTCGAATCCTGACTATAGGCAAATGAGGCAAGAAAAAGAGGGGGCTGCTCTGCCTGGGATCCTGAGACAGAAGTGGGTGTGTGCATGTTTATTCCTCCTTTAGGAGTCAGTCTAGGGTGGGGATATTGAGGGTGAACATTTAAGAACATAATGGCTTTCAGCATATGATCTAACAGGTTTTATTTTTTTTAAATCCACAAATCTTCCTGGCAGTAAAATTCTTTCTTTTTAAAGATATTGGCTAGTGTCTAAATGTCTTTTAGACAGCTGAAAATTCTACTGAATTAAATAGTATTGGATTACAGGTGGTAATAATACCTAGCTCTTGTGTAGGGCTTTTCATCCATAGATCTCAAAGAACTTTACAAAGGTTATCATTACCCCATTTTACAGACAGAGGCACAGAGGGGAAATGACTTGCCCAAAATCACCTGGTAGGCCAGTGGCAGAATCAGGAATAGACCCCAGGTTTTCTGAATCCCCGACCAGTGCTCTTGCCAACACTGCCTCTAGTAGTAGTTGTTCTTTCTGCCTAATGTCTTAAAAATACTGCTGGACCTAATCTGGGGCTCACCGCATTGAATTTTCAGTTTTGCAGCCATCTTAAATCCTAACCTAAATCATGATATTTGTCTTTGATACTGTCATGCATGAAAATTTCAGTGCCAAGGAAGGCTTGTCTTGAAGACTTGGTTATCTTTTAACAGGATCACAACTAACTGTTACCAAACATATATTTTTGTCTAATGGGGCTAGCCTGTATCGGCTGGGCCAGTGATTAGTGTGTGGGACTATGGTTTGGGTTCAGCTGGGCTCTAATCTGGACTCTGCCACAGAATTCCTGTGTAACTTTGAGCACATCACTTTAAACCCTCTGTCCCTCAGATTCCAACTGCAAAGTGGAAACAAGGTACTACTTTACCTCACAGGACCGTGAAGCTTACTTAATGTTTGTAAAGTGCTTTGAGATTCTTGGATAAAGGGGATATGTACAAGTAAAGCATTATTCTTTGTTGAAGGAAAATGAACACAGGGGGAAAAAAATTACAAAAGCCACTTCAGCGAAGAGTGGCTTTGATAACATGACATCTGTTTTGGGTGGGACCCACTGAAAATCCTGTTGTCGTACTGAGCCTGCAGAGTTAGTATTTTTCTTGGATGCTTTTCAGGATGGTAGAATAAAATGCAGTAGATTTTGATATGAAAGAATGAAGGAAGGACGTATACGCTACTAAAAAGGGTGTATTTCCAATTACAATCAACATTGCTTAATTTTAAGGAAAAGTCATCTTGATCTCTTAATTAATGTTTAGGTCAAACAGTTGATGAAATTCAAATAGTGACTCATAGTTAATAAGTGACATGTATTCTCTATCCTTTACTTTTAATAGTGAACAAGAAAAAGAACTGATAGGAATTGTCAAGGCTGCTTCCCCACTTTGAACTTTAGGGTACAAATGTGGGGGCCTGCATGAAAACTTCTAAGCTTAACTACCAGCTTAGATCTGGCCCGCTGCCACCACTCCCAAAGCTAATTCCCTTCCCTGGGTAGCCTTGAGAGACTCTTCACCAATTCCCTGGTGAATACAGATCCAAACCCCTTGGATCTTAAAACAAGGAGAAATTAACCATCCCCCCTCCTTCCTCCCACCAACTCCTGGTGGATCAAGATCCAACCCCCTTGGATCTAAAAACAAGGAAAAATCAATCAGGTTCTTAAAAAGAAGGCTTTTAATTAAAGAAAAAGGTAAAAATCATCTCTAAAATCAGGATGGAAAATAACTTTACAGGGTAATCAAACTTAAAGAGCTCAGAGGACCCCCCGCTAGCCTTAGGTTCAAAGTACAGCAAACAGAGATAAACACTCTAGCAAAAGGTACATTTACAAGTTGAGAAAACAAAGATAAACTAACACGCCTTGCCTGGCTGTTTACTTACAAGTTTGAAATATGAGAGACTTGTTCAGAAAGATTTGGAGAGCCTGGATTGATGTCTGGTCCCTCTTAGGCCTGGTCTACACTAGGCTTTTATGTCGACTTTAGCGCCGTTATATCGAATTAACCCTGCACCCGTCCACACCAGGAAGCCATTTAGTTCGACATAAAGCTCTCTTTAAATCGATTTCTGTAATCCTCCCCAACGAGAGGATTAGCGCTAAATTCGACATGGCCATATCGAATTAGGCTAGGTGTGGATGGAAATCGACGGTAATAGCTCCGGGAGCTATCCCACAGTGCACCACTCTGTTGACGCTCTGGACTGCAGTCAGAGCTCGGATGCTCTGACCAGCCACACCCCCGGGAAAATTTGAATTCATTTTCATTTTCCTGTCTGGGCAGTTTGAATCTCAGTTCCTCTTTGGACATCGAGGGGAGCTCAGCAGCAGTGGCAACTATGCAGAGCTCTCCAGCAGAGATGGCCGTGCAATCTAATAGAAAGAGGGCCCCAGCATGGACTGATCGGGAAGTCTTGGATCTCATCGCAGTGTGGGGCGATGAGTCCGTGCTTTCAGAGCTGCGCTCCAAAAGAAGGAATGCTAAGATCTACGAGAAGATCTCCAAAGCCATGGCAGAGAGAGGCTACAGCCGGGATGCAACGCAGTGCCGCGTGAAAATCAAGGAGCTGAGACAAGGCTACCAAAAAACCAAAGAGGCTAACGGACGCTCCGGATCCCAGCCCCACACATCCCGTTTCTACGAGGCACTGCATTCCATCCTGGGAGCGGCCGCCACCACTACCCCACCCCTGACCGTGGACTCCGAGGATGGGATCATGTCCGCGGCCGGTTCCTCGTCGGACATGACAGCGGACGGGGAAGATGAAGAAGGAGATGAGGAGGACGAGGCAGTCGACAGCGCTGGCACCGCTGATTTCCCCGACAGCCAGGAGCTCTTCATCACCCTTACCGAGATCCCGTACCAACCGTCCCCATCCCTTACCCCGGACACAGAATCAGGGGAAGGATCAAGCAGTAAGTGCTGTAAACATGTAAACATTTATTTAAAACAGAACGGTAATATTTATACTATTAACAATGTACATTTATAAAAGTTCTGTAAACTAGTAAAAAAATAATCAGGTACAAAACAGGAATATTTACAAAGGTAACAAATGGGTTTTCATGATTTCTCTGTCTTAGGCTCTTCTCAATTTAGTCCCAAGTGTTTTAAAAAATTTTCACAATGTCCGTTACTCCATGATTCCCAGGCCCAAGACGCTCCACTCCATAGTCCCAGTGCACCTACGCGAAAATCCGGTCAATGTGGCCGGGGATCGACGAGAAATCCTCGTAGGAGAACTCCTCGTAGGTCTCGTGGAGGTAGAGCTCAAGCCTGTTGATCAGGTTCCGGGGTAGGGCGATCTTAGTGGGCCCTCCGTGGTAGCAGACATGCCCCCTCCACGCCACAATCAAGTACTCCGGGATCATGGCCCGACATAGCATGGCGGCATACGGCCCCGGTTTCTGCATGCTTTCCCGCAGCATGCGTTCTCTCTGGGTGTCCGGGATCCTCAGAAGGGTGATGTCGCTCATGACGCCCTGCTTTGAATTAGGGAGGGGAATGTTAGTATTGGGACTGCTTTACAGCCACGCGGTGGAGGGAGAGGGGCAGCATACAGGGATCTTTCCCTGGGACAGCCGCGAGGGGGTGGGACAGGGGCAGAGTTGATGCTGTCCTGATTGCTGGCAGCAGAGACTGGCATTGCTTTCAATGTGAAAGGAGGCCAGTGCTACTGCTGGAGTTTTAAGCAGCCACAAGTCTGCGGCTTACCATTATTGCCCGCTCCAGAAGTTCAGGTCTCCAGCCACGCTTCTCAGATCACTCCAAGACCTCCGCAAGTCCACAGGCACTGAAGGCGACGGCCGAAAATTCGACCTTGTCCTGAGTGCGCATGTGAGAGGTGCAGTGCATGGTCTTGTTCACAGAGAAAGACTAGGTTCTTTGTATACAATTTCATTTATCTGTCTCAGGAATTCACTCCCTTTTCACAATTCACACAGACACATCTGCGACTGTCTCCCAACCCAGCCTGTCAGCACACTCCCAGAGGCTAGCGCAGATTAGGCGGAGGAAGAAGAAGACGCGTGAAGACATGTTCTCAGAACTAATGGGATGCTCCCGAGCCCAGGCAGCCCAGCAGACACAGTGGAGGGAGAACTTGTCACAAATGCACCGAGCAGTCATGGAACGGGAGGAGAGGTGGCGTCAGGAGGACCAACAGGCTACTGAAAAGCTGCTTGGACTAATGAGGGAGCAAACGGACACGCTCCGGCGCCTTGTGGATGTTCTGCAAGACCGGAGGCAGGAGGACAGAGCCCCGCTGCAGTCTATCTGTAACCGCCCTCACCCGCCACCAAGTCCCACACCACCCTCACCCAAACTCCAAAGAAGGAGGGGCGGCAAGGGCCGTTAAAACTTTCAGTCAACCCCTGCAGACTGCTCTAGCACTAGAAGGCTGACATTCCCCAAAATTTCATAAGTCCTTTCCTACCCACCTCACACAAGCCCCCGTCCAAGTTTCACCCCCCACGTTTCATGTCTGGTTCGCAATAAAATGTTTGTTTCTCTCCATTACTGTTTCAGTCAGGTTCTTTTGAGGGAGAGTCTGTCTGGAGGGGGGGAAGGGGCTTGGTAATTGGGCAGGACAGTGACCTTTAGCAGGGTACAGAGGCGGTGTCAGGTCCAGCATCAGGACACATACACAGTGCAGTCACTGGTTACCCTGGTCAGTCTGGGAGGT